TTTTAAAATTTTTGGGGCCATCATTGGGAGTCAATTCCCCCTTTTTTTTGGGGGGCTTACATCTCGTTTAAAAATGTGCTTTTTTGCATACCGCGACCCTTTTTGGGGCGCAAGGGGGGGGAACCCAGAGCACATAACCCCGTTTGTTGATGTGGTGGGGTTGGTTGACCCCGGTTTTGGGGGGGGGGGGGGCAGACCATACTTCGAAGAGGCGCGCTCGTTCGCGCGAGATTCTTGTGTTCGAAAAAGCTAGCCACCCGTGGCAGCAGGACTTGAGGAAAATGTATCCAAGTACTTGCGATGATGGTATGATGGAAGGTTCAGTTACTGGGTGAAGCGACCAGCTGGTTGTTGGGTCATGCTACGCAGGTTGGGGTTGGTTTTAGGGGTGTTTGGTTTCCGGGGATGAGAGGGTGTATTGAGCGACACGTGTTTTTTTTTGTGTGATGAAGACAAATATTTCTTTGGGCGATAAACCTATCGCCGTTGGTTGTTAGATACGTGGAAAAAGAAACGTGGGGGGGAGGGGGGGGATTCATATACAGATCATTTGTGTATGTTCTATTTACCTTCATGAGGGCGCCACTTATTTGCCGGGCTCCTTTGACGTTTACCGTGGACAAAGTTGTTCGTAGTATATGCGGTACATCATTGCAGGGGTCCGGCATGTTTTTATCCATGCGTACAGAGAGGCTGGCGCATCTTTTGCTGATTGATTTCATCCTTTTCGTTGGCGTTTTTGTTGTTGCAGAGAAGTAACAACACTTCGATATACCTTGTAGCTATTTAGCACTGCTACATACGGCTGTTGTCAAATGACATGGCGCACAACAAGATAGCAGGTTCTTGTGGTTGAGGCTTTGTAGTTTTTGAAGGTTGCTTCGTTTGGTTGGTTCTTCTCGATAGCGTAGGTGGTGGGGACCATATGTGCGTACATCATGAACAGGCGGCGGAACTTGAGGGATATTCGCGTCATCCGGGACCCCATGTTCGTACATCATGAGCAGGTGGCGGGACTTGAGGGATATTCCCATCATCCGGGGGGTTGGGCGGGGGGGTTGCTCGTTGCTTAAGGTTGTGTCGTGTGGGTTCATGGCAGTGGCGAGCGATGTGCGCCCCCTGCGGTTGGCTGCGCGTGCTGATTTGTTTTTGCTTCTTTCCGACCGGGCTGCAATCAACAACAGAGAGAGGTCGTTCGTTTACTCCGTATTTCCGTTACCTCACAAAATATTGCTTTTCTTTGTTCCTGTTGAGACGTACATATATGCATATGCGTATCAGAACAGGCACCGTGTGCTTTTGACGCAACGGGAAACGGCACATGGATATTTTCGTTCCTCTTGTCCTTCTTATGTTCTTGATCCTTCGCTTACCTAATTATGTAAGCCTTGGGTGTCCTCCATCTACTGCTGTCTGATGTTGTCATTGTTCTCCACGTGTATGCACACCGGGCGTTATATTTTCGAAGTAAGTGTTGTTTTCTCTTTTTGTTTCGCTCAAGCTCGAGGGGGAAGTCTCTCTCGCGTGTCGATCTTGGAACGGGATTAATTATTCTCAGGGAAATCTTATTTCTGAGAAGGATCGATCGCGGCTGGCTTTTACAGCGGCGTGTTGTGTGCAAAAGATTGTTGTGTCTTTTACGGGTCCGGGTCGGCTTGTTTGGCCAAAAGAGAATATTACGCTGAGGGAAGGAGACGAGTGAAGGCGGACGCCAAGCGGGGCGGGTTGCCTGCCCACTTGCCTGGTTCAGCGCCTACTTACAACATCTGTAGAAAAGAGTGTTATTTCCTGATTTACGCGCATGGTAATGGCGGGATTGGCGCAGAATATACCACAACAACATAGTAGTAGTCGGTGTGAAATACGCTGCTATTGTACCAAGTTGTTTGCGCTGTGTTAAGGGTAGGCGGTGAAACATCAAGAATGACGGAGTGCCGACGTAGTATAGGCAGGGATGAGACTAACATCAGACAACCACCACGTCAAGTGTTAGACTGTAATACGGGCAGAAGAAGGTACTGGGCAGAGAGAACGGAACGGTTTTCAATGTGAAGACAACAACAACAACAACAAGCATGACATCACTCTGGGCGGTTTGAGCACATTCATTCATGTAGCAGGTGAGCGCGTGAGCCAGGGGTTGTCCTCTTTGAAGGCATGTAGTTCTATCTAACAAATCTGCTTCTTGCTGCGAGAAGAACGACCTGCCTCACTGACTGTGTCTTGTCGGTTTGTATTTTTCTGTTTTTGAATGAAGACAAACAAATTCGGATTTGAGGGGGGAGGGGGGAGGGGGGGGGGGGCATACTAGCCATGGCAGTCTCTAGTGAAGGCAGTGATGTAAACGTTCCA